CCCCTCCCCAGCCTCTCAGCTCCACTCTCTCTTGAAAGGTGCCCCCATCAGTGTCATGTTCCTTACACCTGGGGTCACCCCATGGAAAACCACGTTACCTGGAGTGGTCAATGGAGCCAACAATCCAGGCATCCGGGTGTTTGAATACAACCGAGCCACACTGAGCCTGCAGGTCAGGAGCCTTGGGTCTGCTGGGGCCAGAGGAGGAGGGAGGAGGGACCTGATAACACCACCGCCTTCCCTAGCTAAGCCACCCTCTACTGACCACTGAGACTCAGGAAGGTCAAGTTACTTCCACCCTTTTAGAGCTCAGGATCAGAAGAACCCTGGCTCTACCTCCAAATCCTGCCACCAAGTCGGGTCAATTCTCCAAATTGCCCTTTGCCCTGGATCATTGTCAAGGCCTCCTACTTGTTCTCCCCGCCTCCAGCACTGCCCTGCTATAGCTCATCTGGTACAGCTAAGGAGGGGATTAATCTTTCTAAAGCACTTCTTGTCTCCTTCCTGCTCAAAAACCTTCAGTGGCTCCCCAGTGCTCCCAAGATAGGTTGGATCTCTTTGGCTTGGTATTCAAGGTCTCTCACAGTGTGACCCTCCTTGGCCTGGTATTCAAGGTCTCTCACAGTGTGACCCTCCTTGGCCTGGTATTCAAGGTCTCTCACAGTGTGACCCTCCTTGGCCTGGTATTCAAGGTCTCTCACAGTGTGACCCTCCTTGGCCTGGTATTCAAGGTCTCTCACAGTGTGACCTCAGGCCCACTGCCAGGTCTTCTCTACACTGACTACGCTGCAGCCAAGCAGGCCCCTAACTCAATGAGCAATCCCACACCTCCTGGGATGTGCTTGTGATTACTGAAATGACAAAGAAATATTATTCCTTAATGTATTCAACAAAACGTGTTAAGCCTCTGCCATGTGCCAGGCCCCGTGCTAAGCTCAGGAGATACATAAGCGAACAAAAGTCACTGCTCTCCTGGAGCTGACAGACAATAAACAAACACATAAAGTTAAGTGTGGCACGAAATAAGTGCTAAGGAGAAATGAAAACAGGGTGAGGAGGCAGGTAGTGACACTTACAGGGTACGTGTATATGTGTGTGGTGTTAGATGGGGCAGGGAAGTGTCACTGATAGGGTGACATTTGAATTCTGAGTAACTTCAGGGAGTGAGCCGTGGGAGCGTCTGCAGAAGGGGAAGGAAGAGCACGCCAGGGGCCCAGGGTGGGAATGTGCTTGGTGTGTTAGGGGAGGAGCACAGAGGCCCGCAAGACCACGGCGGAGGTCGCGAGCAGATGGGGGGAGGGGGCTTCAGGTAATGTAGGCCACGAGGACGACTCTGGAATTTTAGAAAACCACCATTCTGCTGGGTGGGGAACAGGCTGTAGGGGGCAAGGGCAGACATGGGGATCAGTTAGGAGGTGACCACAGCCACTGAGAGGTGATGTTGGTATGGGCCAGGGTGGCACCCGTGGGTGGTGAGGAGAGCCAGATCCTGGATGTATTTTGAAGGCAGAGCAGACAGGATTTGCTGGTGGATTGGATGAAGGGTGGAAGAGAACGCGAGGAGGCAACGAGGGCTCCAAGGCTTTGGCCAGAGCAACTGGAAGGATGAGGTTGTCATTTACCGCAACGGGCTCACTGCAGGAGGAGCAGATTTTGGAGGAAGACCAGAAGCCTGGCTTTCCTGTTAACTTTGGGATGTCTAAGTGGCATCCAGGTGAAAATGCTGAGGGAAGAGGCAGCTGGGTATTCAAGTTGGAGTTCCAGAAAGAGGTGGGTACAGAGATTTAATCTGGGTGTTGAGAAAAGACATTTAAAACCAGGGACTGCATGAGTTAACCTGGGTCCTCGACTCTAGAGTGAATGTATATGGAGAAGAGGTCTGAGGATTTTTAAGAGTGTGATCCATTGTCCACACGAGCACTCAGACCACAGGGTTCGGAGAAGACTAAATGAAATAATGTAAGGTGCCTAGCAAGAAATTGCCATCCATCCATGGCAGCTCCTCTTACCCCACCTCTCCTGACCTAAAGCAGATCTGCAAATTTAGGTGGAAAGTGTTGCACAGATAAACCCTTCCAGATTCTAGTCCTGAAAATGCACCTGAGTACTCAGGGTCTTGGGTGTAGCCCAAGCCCCCTTCAAAGCACAATTCTATAAGCTCTCTCAGCCAGGCACTCCACCCCACTGCATTTATATTGCATTTTATCCAGTCTTTCTGCAAATATTTACTGACAATCTTCTGGGTACCCGGGAGCTTGCTGGAACACAAAATGCACAGGCTATGGGGTAAACAAGCTGGGTTCCAATCCTGCCTCAGCCACCTGTGGGACCCTGGCCAAGTGAATTAACCTCTTTAGGACTCAGTTTCCTCATCTGTGAAATGGGGACAATAAGCACAGTTACCTCATCAGATTCAATCAGAGGATGTCTGCCAAGCATACCCGGCAACTAGTGAATGCTCAATAACTAAGAGCGGTCAGGATTACAGCTATTAGAATCTGGGGGCAAATGCAAGGTGGAGGATTGGGGGCGGAAGCGGACAGCTGCTCACAGCCGGCCCGCCTCGCGCGCCCCCTCTGTAGGACATGGTGACCTACTTCTTGAACCTGAGCCAGGCAAACGCGCAGGAGGCGCCGCGCTGGGAGCTCGAGTACCGGGTGACCAAGGCCTACGGCGTGCCCGACGCAGGCGCCCGCTCTATGCACGCAGCGCTGGGCCGCATCGCCAGCGACCAGGGCGCGCTGCAGCGCTACTACGGCTACAACTCGGTCAGTTACGACACGCTGGCCTGCGACGAGGCCTGCCAAGCCGAGCACGTGTGCGCGCTGCGCGAAGTGGCCTTCGACGGGTATGCCGCCTGCCTGCGCGCCCCCGGCGTCGCGCCCGCGCCCCGCCTCGCGCTCCTGCTGGTGGCGCTGCTGGGCCTGCGCACGCTGCTTGTGCCGTGACCTTGGGCGACGCCTGCTGATTGGCTTGGCTCGCCTTCCTCCTGGTAAAATGCGGAGAGCATCACCCCCGAGAGATGGACTTTCCACCCTTTCCCCGGCGTCCCCAGAATGAACTGGGACGGGACAGCCGATCAGGAAATGAAGCCCCAAGGGCCCCACCAGAAGCACATTTCTTTCAAGTTTCATGTTTTATCCCAAACACAATGCTCGTCGTGCATGTTATTCTGTTATTAAGTTGTAAATCATGTTTAAAGTAACTCCCTTGCCCAGTTATTGAATGTTCCCCCCTCCTCCTATTCGGATAATCCGAGTAAAATGAGCTGCCAGGAAGATGCACATGGTTGATCCAGTGCCCTCTGTCTCCCCTGGCACACGGCCCGGACTCGGAGGCAAACTTAGCGAAGTCCCTCAGTCAGGGATCGGAACGGGCTTTGGCGTTCTGTTGTTTTGTTTTGCAACAATGCAGACGTGAGGCACCGCAGTTCTAGCTCGGGCGCTAATCTCCGGGCCATATTCGCCGTTTTGGGTCTCCAGGAGCCTCAAATGTAAAACAAGGCGATTAGAAGCCTCCTAAGCTAAGGGCATTGCGCCTCGGACGGTCCGTCTTCGGGCCTAGCGGTCCTGGGGGCCCTCAGGGTTCAGCGGGGCTGGGGTGAGAGTGGGGGATACCTATGCAGGCGGCAGGGCCAGGGGTCTGTGGGACCGCTGATACCCCAACCGCGGGGCCTACGGACCTCGCTCCTCCCCGGACAGGGCGGGACTGGGAAGTCCCGCCCCGCAGCCCGAGTCCTGGGCGGCCCCGAGGGCTGTGCCCGCCTCCTTCCTGCCACCGCGACCCTGGGCAGGGAGGGAGACCCTGCGCCGGGAGGGTGGGTCCGAGCCCAGAAGAGAAAGAGGGGTAGAGGCTGGCGGGTCATGCCCTGGTCGCCACGCGCCGCTCTCTTCTGGGACCTGGTCCTGGGCGTATTGGGCACCCTCGCCTTCTTGATCGACCTGGGCGCCGACCTGTGGGCCGCGAGCCAGTATGTGCTCAGCGGTCGCTACCTGTGGGCCGCGCTAGTGCTGGCGCTGTTGGGCCTCGCCTCAGTCGCGCTGCAGCTCTTCAGCTGGGTCTGGCTGCGCGCCGACCTCTCCAGCCCGCACGCGCCGAAGCCCCCAGGCCACTGCCTGGCGCTGTTGCATGTCCTGCAGCTGGGCTACCTATACAGGTGAGCGCCCTGCCCTCCGGGAGAGGGAGGGGGAATGGAAGTCAACGTCACCTCCTGCAGCTGGGCTGGTAGCGCAGGTGAGAGCCCTGACCCCGCGACGGGGGCGGAGAGGAGAGGACTGAGACCCTGGAGAGGAAACTAAGCTCCTTGTAGTTTAGCGGGCGCTTCTCCCTACAGGTGAGCTCCTGATCCCTGATGAGGGAGAAATCCGGCTGGCAGCCCTCAGAGCTCACGAACGGTACCCTTCCTGGCACAGCTGAAGAAACTGAGGCCCAGAGAGGGAAGGGAGGCACATGACCTGGAGTCGGACCCTTCGGGATCCAATCCTTGCTTTACCACCTGTGTGGCTTTATTCCTGCCTTTCTCTGAGCCTCAGTTTCCTCCTCTGTTAAAGGAGGTAGTGATCTAGAGATAGGTGTGGCTGGCAGGCCTGTGGTGAAGGGCAGAGGGGGAAGTGCCCCGCACAGTGCCTGGTGGCAACAGACCTCCTGTTGCTTTTAGCTGTGGGTGGAGCCTTGGGCAAGTCACTTGACCCCTCTGGGTCTCAGTTTACTCATTGTTCCAGAGGCTCACAGTGTAAGGATTAAATGGAATGAGACCTGTAAATTGCCCTGGTGCAGAGTAAGCAGGCAGCAAGTGTCAGCTAGCTTCATGATCAGCTGGGTCACCCTGGAGTTTCAGCAGCCCTGACCCCCAGAGCAGCGCTTGTTCCCTTATGGCCAGTGCCTCCCACCCTGTCTTTCCCAGTTGTATTCTCCCCAAACACTTGCTCTCCACCCCACCCCCTCACTCCCAGACCAAGCAAGAGGGCAGAGATGGGGTCCGACACATCCATGTCCCTGGAGCCATGTAGGGCTGGGCTCAGGCAGGGGCCCTCTAGAGATGGGGAAACTGAAACGAAGGGATCAGAGTCATGTGAAGTCAGGACATGATGTGGTCTGGGTTGGGATGGGACGGACAGAGCCAGGATCTGCTCTTGAATCCATGTTTACAGATTCTCTCCAGATCTTGCCTTGAGTCTCCAGGAGTGGGTGAGAGGAGCTTTGAATGTTGCAGTTTTGCCTGAGGGACTGTCCAGGCATTAATAACACCTTGGGTGAACACAAAGGGGCACAGTTATTACAGTCCTGGCAGCCTTCAGTGAACCCTGAATCTATAATTACATCATGTATCTTCTGTTTCTGCTGAGCATGAGTCAGACAGACTGTACTGAGCTTTGGTTGAGAAAACGGGGTCTCTGTTCCTGCCTGTGACTAGGCTGAGGCCTCTGCCAGGGCACTGGGGGACCTCCCCGCCCCGCCGAACTCGGGCCTGCTCCCTGAGTGTGTTGTCAAGTTCATCCAGGGGAAGTGACAGTAAACGTCTGATGAATGAATTTGCCATGAGTGAGTGGCCTCACCTCCCAATAGCCAACTGAGATCAGTTCTGGGCGGGTGGAGATCTTGGTGCATCCTCCACAGCGCCCTCATGCCAGTGGATCACTCAGGCCTGTCTGTCCAACCTCTGGACTCTCTTAACTCTGCCCCGTCTGTTCCCATCACTCTGGGCAGGCCTGTTAACTGGATCCCTGGGTGCTCTTTCTGTAGCACAGTAGGACCTGTCTTGCCTGTGCTCAGAAGCTCTCAATGGCTTCCTTCCCCACAGGATCCTAAGAAATTCTTACACTTGCTAAAATTTGAGAATGCTCACTTTAGGCAATTTCCCAGTACACCTTTCAAATTCAAACAGCTTTGGGTCCAAATCCTGTTTCCAGTGCTCATTTGCTCTTTGGTCCTGTTTCCCCGTCTGTAAAATGGGGATATTGTAAAGGAGTAAATGGGACGAGGTTTGTGATGAGCTTGGTATGGTGGCTACAGCAGAAGGAATAGCTGTTGTATTTATGCCCACTTCACAGATGAAGAAACAAGTTCAGTGAGGTAAGTCGCTTGCCCAAGGCCTTATATAGCATGTATGTGACGAGCTAGGATTTGAGCCTGTCTGCATCCACTCGATGGGTAGGGAAGGAGGAATGCCACAGGATGCTAACTGGGCCCCTTGGGGCATCGTGTGTACTGCCTAGGTGCGTGCAGGGGCTGCGGCAGGGGCTGCTGGTGTGGCGGCAGGAGGTGCCCTCCCAGTTCGACTTGGCCTATGCCGACTTCCTCTCCCTGGACATCAGCATGCTGCGGCTCTTTGAGACCTTCCTGGAGATGACACCGCAGCTCACACTGGTGCTGGCCATCATGCTGCAGAGCGGCAGCGCCGAGTACTACCAGTGTGAGTGTCAGGCCCTCGGCCAGCCCCCCTTTTACACCTTGGGCAAGTTGCCCACAAATGTCAGAAAGGTTTTCACTCTTTTATAAGGGCTGCTTAGAAAATAGGAGAATGTCCTTTAGTTGGGCAGGTCTGTGTTCAAATCCAAGGTTATGCTCTAGCCTTGAGTTTGGACAAAGGACTCCAGCTCTCTGAGCTATCGGTTTGTTCTCATCTGGACAAATAAATGGATGTAATAAATGAGCCTACCTCATAAGGTTAATGAAAGGTTTAAGTGAAGTGATGCCTATAAAGCCTCGTGCCTAGTGCATAATAAATCTTAAGTGTAATTTTTACTATTTTGAAGACAACAGATGAAGTGTGTAGGGTGCCTGATGCCTAATAAGCAATTTGTTGATCAATAGATAAATTATTGAGCGCCTTTGTACATGCAGAGTGCCTTTGTTTTTTTTTTTTTTGGCGGTACGCAGGCCTCTCACTGTTGTGGCCTCTCCTGTTGCAAAGCACAGGCTCCGGACGTGCAGGCTCAGCGGCCGTGGCTCACGGGCCTAGCCGCTCCGCGCGGCATGTGGGATTTTCCCGGACCGGGGCACGAACCTGTGTTCTCTGCATCGGCAGGCGGACTCTCAACCACTGTGCCACCAGGGAAGCCCCGTGCCTTTGTTTTGATTGAGCACCTTTGTGCCTGTCCCTGTGTTAGGAACAGCACAGTGAATAAGGAGATGGACACAGCCCCTGGCTTGCCAGGACCATAGACTGTAAAGCAGGTCGTTACAGTAAAGCATGTGGATTGATCTGAAAAGGAAGAGGCGGGTGGCCTCATAAAACACAGGAGAGGTTTGTACAAAGAGAAGCTTTGGGAGAGCTTTTAGGGGAGTTGCCCAAGGTCACAGGCCAGCTGGCAGCCAAGTTAGGACTCCAGCTCACATCTGATTCAGGGTCTAGGCTTCCCCTTCTCCTTCTCAGCCCTCGCACACCTGCTGCTGTACAAGGCACAGCCTCCCAAGCAGCCAGTCCCAGCTCTGCCTCCACTCTCTGCGGGACTTGGAGATCCCCTCTCTGGCCTCAGTTTCCACAGCTGTACAAGCTGGGGAGTTGGACTCAATCTCCAAGGGCCCTTTCAGTTTGCTAATCTGAGTCTGCAGTATTAATTGAAAAACAAAACAAAAAACAGAAATAGCAGCCATCACGATGGAGTGCCTGCTATTAGCCAGCACTGAGGAAAGTGCTTTATTGTCATCATCGCTCACATTCATAGCGCCTCCAGTTTGGTGCTATATTTATCTCCATTTTACACGAGAGGAAAGAGATGCCGAAAGGGGAAGTGATTTGCCCTGGGACACACAGCACTCATTGTGCACGTACCGTTGGGCCTCTCTCTGTGAGTCCTGCATCCACAGATTCAGAGGGCTGACTCTATTATGCCATTTTATATTAGGGACTTGAGCATCTGCGGATTTTGGGAACCAATCCCCTGTGGATACTGAGGGATGACTGTGTCTTTTGTTTGTCTCTTTGAAGGCAGTGGGTGTCTAGGACCAGGGCTAAATGGGGACAGTCTACACTGTGAATGGAGGGAGTGGGGATGGGGGATTGAGGGAAGAGACAGGTTTTCCCAACTTTTGTTTAGCAAACATGTATTCAGCTGCTGTTATATGCCAGCTTCTGGGGGATCCCTGGGGAGCAGAATCTGTTTCCTACACTGAAGAAGCTCAGAGACAAGGAAATAATTACTGTGTGATACGACTCCAGAGAGGAATGGGGTGCTATAGGAGCTGCACAGCGGAGTGGGGTGGGGTGGGGTCCAGGTGGGTGACTATAGGGGATAATGAAGCCAGAACTTGCAGGGTAAGGAGGAGTAGGCCAGGGGAACCAGGGCGTGGGTCTACCTAATACCAAGGGCACCGCTTGTCAGGTCAGAGAATGCGGCATGCTGGCAAACTGGAGGAACATCAGCCCTGCCGAGACCCTGAGTGTGGGGTAGTTACAAAGGCCACAGATCTGATTCCAGGCTGGGAGTGGGTTCCTGACCCATAGCAGGTTCCCAGCGAACATCTGTTGACTGAATGCGATAGGGAGGGGGCGGGAGGAAGCAGTCTAGAGATGCTTCCAGCCCTCGTTGGAGGGCCTGGTGCTTCTAGTCCAGGATGGGCAACTAGGAGGTGGGATAGGATCCCCACTGTACACTTCGAGTCTTGGAAAATCAAAACCGGGGCCCAGGGCTTCCCTGGTGGCGCGGTGGTTGAGAGTCTGCCTGCCGATACAGGGGACACAGGTTCGTGCCCCGGTCTGGGAGGATCCCACGAGCTGCAGAGCAGCTGGGCCCGTGAGCCATGGACGCTGAGCGCTGCGCGTACGGAGCCTGTGCTCCGCAACAGGAGAGGCCACAACAGTGAGACGCCCGCGTACCGCAAAAAAAAAAAAAAACAAACAAAACCGGGGCCCAGTCTGAGGGTAGAGGGGAGTAGAGGCTGTTCCACCCATATAACAGGGACATCCCTTTTGGCCCCGGAAGGCAGCTTCAGCTAGAGGCCTGTCGCCACCCCATGGGATTTCCTGCTTCCCTTTCTGAGACTAAGAAGGGGGAACTGGACTTCTGCTGATTTTCAGATCCAAGAAAGGCGTGGGCTGTTCCGGGAAAGGAAAGGTTACAGGTCCCTAGAAGATGCTCAGGGTGTGGCCAAGGCCCAGGGGTGCCAGATGCTGGGTGACAGGGGTGCCGATGAGAGTGTATAAGCCACACACCTTCTCATCCGTGAAAAATATAACCGTGGTAGCACCTGATAAGGAAAGGTTTGCGGTGAAGGGCAGACTCCATATGGATCCTAGCTCTGTTTGGGGTTGTGTGAACTTGCTGGTCTCCAGCTGTAGTTTTCCCTTCAACAAATTGGGGGCCGTAATACCCACTTCAGCGTGGCTACGAGGCCTCCGCAGTACCCGTGGCCTCTGGGGAGTGCGTGCAGGCTGCCCGCAGGGCTCACCTGTCTCCTCTTCCTCTTCGTAGGGGTCAGCATCTGCACGTCCTTTGTGGGTATCTCGTGGGCACTGCTTGACTACCACCGGGCCCTGCGCACCTGCCTCCCCTCCAAGCCTCTCCTGGGGCTGGGTGCCTCCGCGATCTACTTCCTGTGGAACCTGCTGCTGCTGTGGCCCCGAGTCCTGGTCGTGGCCCTGTTCTCAGCCCTCTTCCCCCGCTATGTGGCCCTGCACTTCTTGGGCCTGTGGCTGGTGTTGCTGTTCTGGGTCTGGCTTCAGGGCACGGACTTTATGCCAGATCCCTGCTCCGAGTGGCTGTACCGGGCGACAGTGGCCACCATCCTTTATTTCTCCTGGTTCAACGTGGCTGAGGGCCGAACCCAAGGCCGTGCTACCATCCACCTGGCGTTCCTCCTGAATGATAGCCTTCTGCTGGTGGTCACCTGGGTGACTCAGAGCACCTGGCTGCCCAGCGGGTGCCTGCTGCAGAGGCTGCTGCCTGCGGCCGGCGCCTGCTTCCTCCTGGGGCTGGCTCTGCGGCTGGTCTACTACCGCTGGCTGCACCCCAGCTGCCGCTGGGAGCCTGACCAGGTGGACGGGACCTGGGGTCTGTGCTCCCTCGAGGGGCGTCAGCTGCCTCAAAACAGGCGCATGGCCCATTTGGCTAAGAACTTTTTCCCCAAAGGTAGGGATGAGGCTGCTTTGCCATGGAAGGGAGAGGTGAATGGTGTCCTTTGAGGCAGGGTCAGACCCAGCCAGGGGACTTGAAGGCCAGATGGAATCAGTTGGTAGAATGTGGAAGATAAGCTGCTTATGCTGCTGTGGGCCTTGATTCACTCAACGAGCACTTGCTGCCTGATCTGTGCCAGGCGCTGGAGACCAGAGTTGAGTAAGACAGAGGCCTGCCCTCAAGGATGAGAACAAGATGAGAAGGGCTGGGCCCTGGAGGGTCAAGGGCCCCAGTTATGTATGAAACACTTTGGGAGGAAAGAAGAGACCCCCTCTTCCCTTCCCCCCAAACAAGTATAACCCCAAAGCATTCCAGTGTTGGTATTTTTACCTCCCTGGCTACCTCTAAAATAATTGGTGGAGCTGTTGTGCCAGGCGCTGGAGACCAGAGTTGAGTAAGACAGAGGTCTGCCCTCAAGGATGAGAACAAGATGAGAAGGGCTGGGCCCTGGAGGGTCAAGGGCCCCAATTATGTATGAAACACTTTGGGAGGAAAGAAGAGACCCCCTCTTCCCTTCCCCCCAAACAAGTATAACCCCAAAGCATCCCAGTGTTGGTATTTTTACCTCCCTGGCTACCTCTAAAATAATTGGTGGAGCTGTTGTCCCACCCTTGGTTCCCCTATCCTGGGCTGGAAGGCCCCAGGACCTCCAGGCTGTGTTCTCTGGAATTCTTCCTCCCCTGCCCCACCCCAGTCATTCAATTCATTCAGCAAATGTTTACCGAGGGCCTTTTATGTGCCAGAAGCATCATTCTAGCCTTGGCAGATCAGCTGCCATTCCAGCTTCACCCCTTACCCTCTCCAGATACTCCAGAACGGGCTCTCAGGCTGGAAGCCAGGGATGCCTGACTGCCTGTCAGCCCTGTCAGCCCTGTCAGCCCCTCCAAAGCCTTAGTGCAGGGCTTCCCTGGTGGCACAGTGGTTGGGAGCCCGCCTGCCGATGCGGGGGATGCGGGTTCGTGACCCGGTCCGGGAGGATCCCGCATGCCGCTGAGCGGCTGGGCCTGTGGGCCATGGCCGCTGAGCCTGCGCGTCCAGGGCCTGTGCTCCGCAACGGGAGAGGCCGCGGCGGTGAGAGGCCCGCGTACTGCAAAAAAAAAAAAGCCTTAGTGCAGCTGGCCCGGCCTCTGCCTCTGCTCTCAAGGGGTGACCTTTCAACCAAGTGCCTTGTGAACCTGCAGTCTGGGCCGTGGCTCAGCCCGCCGAGTATGTTTTTGTGCTTCAGGCAGTGTACTTTCTACCTCAGTCTGTGTAGGTGGAAGAGGTGTGTGTATCTGCGTCTCTGTAAGTGAGAGACACGTGTGTTGTCTTTGTTGAACAGTATTATTAGATTATTATTAAAACCTCATGAAATCCCCTAGCCTAGTTGTGTCATTAAATCCGCCACCAAGTTCAAAGCTGCCTGGAAAAAAGGGGTCAGGGACGCAAAGTCCTCTCAAAGTCGGTAAAGGCCCTGGGACCAGAGAAGAGGGCTGGCTTAGGCAAGACTTCTTAACCTTGTTTTCTAAGCGTCAGGAGCTGGTGAGCCAGTGTGGTGTTGACCGCTCAGGTGGGCATCAGAACCCAGATCTGGGCTGACTCTAGTGTGTGCTCTTAGCCAGCTCTGCTGCTGGGCCTGGCAGGAGTAGGTACACCTTTGGTATCAGGAAGTGAATACACGAGCGCAGGTGAAGAAAGGTCTTTTGGCTGGGAGGTCACTGGGAGCGATGCAGTGATGACAGGGGATGTGGATGTGGGCAGTGGTGTTGGGGAGGTCTGTGGTTTGGAGAAACAAGGAGCAGGGAAAGGGCACTGGAGACAGAAGGAAAGGTTCATCACCACTGGGACGGGATCCAGGAGAGTCTGTTATTCATTCATTCATCTAGTGGAGACACAGTAAACAGAGTAAGTGAAAGAATGTATCAGATAGTGTTAAGTGCTAAAAGAAAAATAAGGTAGGGAGAGTGCGTGTGTGTTGTAGGTGGGAGTTACAATTTTATATAGAATGGCCGGGAAGGCCTTCCTGAGAAACTGATATACGCCCTAAAGGAGGTGAGGATGACAGCCACGCAGATGTGCTTTATTCCAGACACCAAGTCAGCAGTGACTGGATGAAGGAGGGCTTGTAGCAGTTATACTGGCCTGGAGCCAAGGCTGACACAGAGATGAAGGTTGGGAGCAGGGAGGAACTCTGGGAAGATGATGCTGGTGCTTTTTACATACACAGAATGGTAGAGGTAGAAAGGATCTCCAGGATCACTCAGTCCAATGATTTTCAGACTCCTGAATTTCATGAACCAGTATAATGGCCAACATGGTTGCCAAGTTAACTTTAATGAAAAAGGGCCTAAAAACTACCACCATCTATTATCTTGTCTTATGAAAGGACATATAACCTCAGAAAAAGGATCATTTTTTAAATTGACTATAAACACACATTTGCACACACACAAAAGTGAAATCATTATTTTTCTCAACTCATAGGGAATATCAAGGGTTGAGACCTCAGAGAGCAGGCTTGGCCTTTATAAATCCCTGGGCTTAGTGTCCAACCTAGCCTCAAACATAGCTTCTAAGGGGTTCACTAAAACAAATACTTGCTCTCAACTTCAATTAAAACAAAACAAAACAAAACTTGCTGCATTTACTTTTCTCTGCTTCTTCCTGTCATATGTGAAGACTATAGGCTCTGGAGAGATGCCATACATGCCCAAACAGATGATGCAGTGTAGTGTCTTAGGCTATTTCCCCTGAGAAAATCCAAAAAGATGTTTAATTTTTTGGCTAAGCTCTCATCTGTATTCTCTAGATGAAATTGTCAAATGAGGGTAACAGGTATGTAATTTAAAAAGCTGTGGAATTTAGTGGTCGTTTCATTTGTAAAAAAGGTTTACAGAATCAAGAATTTAAAAAAGATGACGGTGATGTTACTTGTAATTAGAAATTTCCTTTGAAGATTTCCACTGTTTTTTTTTTTTTATGTCAAGAAACTTGTTTCTGTAGAATAAAAAAGCTCTTGATTTGCTCATTTTAACCTGCCACTGGAAAGGTTCTTGAGAAACGTGCAGATGTTATACCTATTGGAGGGGGAGATGGAGATGTTTGCTCTTTGGGCTTAAAAACTAATAACACTCTGATACCTGTACTTCTGACCGATTGACAAGTTTGCTTCAACTATATTGTGGCTCAAAATGTGCATCTTCTGATGAAAAGATTTAATGCCTCAGAATACAAGGCAACCCCCTCTTTTCTGGGGGGAATTAATTTTGGGAAAAATACATCTTATAGTCTGACATGTATGGTACTTGGAAGCTAGAACCCAATTCTCATCTCCATTGGAAAAAAAGGCAAAAGGATTCCTGTTTTCCAGACCAATGAACAGTCAGACTCAAATCTAAAGAAATGAAAAGAGAAAAAGTAGTTGATGTAACATGAAAACAAGCCAAATCAAACAGTTTGGTATCAATTTGTCAGTTTTACTGCTTTTGCATTTTAAGCTCAGCACAGCAAGGTATTGATTTTTTTAATAATTAAATTTCAGCACATTTGACAGCAAATGAAATCTCTTGGCGTTCCAGTCCTAAACTTTGAAAAGTGATGTATTTTAGAAACAATTAAGAAATACTTTCCCTTGCAAATTATTTTAAAATATTTAATTTACTCATTTATTTATACCAAATGGTTAGTTTTGTTTGTTTCTTTTGGTGAAATTAATGACTCAGTTACTGAAAGGGTGCCATCTTTCTAATGAGCTCTTCTGATTTTTTTATGAAGCCCTACTTAGAAGCCTACTCAGCTGGGCAACTGGGCTAAACCTACTCAGAAAAGACACAGGAGCAAACCATATAGAAAATAAAAACTTTATTTTTTCAAGTTTATAAGATAGTTCCCATTACATATAACATTATGGTCAAGGACTCTACAGCCACAAATGCCCGCAGTCACATAAATATATCTAATCAGTGCCTTTTCCTGCTAAATGAGGCATCTGAAGTCCAGAGGGTCATGTTTTGAGTAGAAGTCGTCCTTAATGGGATGGCTCCCATCAGTGCACTAGGAACTAGCCAAGTAACCTTGCTTGCTAGAGCTGTCTGACTCAGAGGAGAGGAAGGGACAGAGGGCCTGCTGATCAGAGGTGGGACAGAACTAGATTTTCTCTCATGGTTTAAGATGTTTCAAAATCTCAGAATTCAGATTTGGCCTCTACAGGGTATTTGGGGAATTCCAACTTTGGGATGAAAAAGGAAGCCAAATTAGTGGTAAGAAACAGAAGCCTGCTTAAGAGGGGTCCTAACTGCCCCCTTCCTGCAGGAGTGAGGAAAGGAAGGCCCCAAGCCCACCTGCCCTTGGCTTAGACCATCGCTCTCCCAGGAAGCGGGAGAGCGTGGCTCCGCCCCTCGACTCCTCTCCCCCACGGTTCAGTGGCACTGACACCCATTCAAGGTGGTGAACATCTAGAAGTTCCATATACTGCAGCTGGAGTTTGCCAATCAGATTCTGCTTGGAGCTTTAACGCGAACAAGTTTGTGTAAACTGCGAACAACCTGTGGCACAAGTCTCCTGGGACACTAGCTTTGCTCCCCCAACTTGCAGAAGACAGGAATACCCCAAACCAAATAAAAGCCCAAGCAGGCATCTAAATCTGGAGCAGGCATCCACTCTCCTGGACACCACCAGCTGCCCCAGGGGCACCGGACAGGGTGATGCTAAGGCACAGTCAGTTTTACATTCGAAAGTAAAGCCACCTCTTAAACCCAGGACACAGCTGACAACTCGATTCCCTACTAGAGACAGCCTAGCTCTCACCACGAAATGTGCAGAACCATCTTACAGAACCCATGGTGCCCAGCTGGGTTAAGGACTCATCATGTGGCTTATTCCATGGGGACTCTTTCTAGTAAAGAGGGCTTCCCCCTTGACGAAAGGACCCACAGTATCCTTTCGACCTCAGCCTCCAAGAACTCGTGGTGCTGCCTACTTATTTTCCTCTCCAGACCTCTGTGCTGCGGAGGAGGAAAACACAGGCTCCAAGAAGATCACTGGGTTCCCTGAACAATTCATTGTGGCAAAGAGGAGCCAGGAAGCTCCATTTTCCGTCTACCCTCTAAACAACCAGAAGAGAGCAAAGGCGGCACTGCTCAGAGAGCTTCCTCACCTCTCTCAGCCAATTTCAAGTTCCTTTTGCAAAGACCTAAGCCGTGCAGTCAGAGCAGGAGGGAAAAGGCCATCGCAAAGGGACTCCAAGTCATATTCTAGGAATAAAGAGCTTCTCCCAGCGGGCAGGGAGAGGGAAGTGTGTGTGTGCGGACCTGTGTGCACGACGTGGGTACCACTCTGCAGCCTGAAGCACAGCACCAACAGGGTGGCCTATATCCAGGGCAAGAAACCAACAGCTCTACTGCCAGTACGGGGAGGGCTTGGGGCCTGGAAGTACAGACCCACCCTAGAGCATTCTAAGATAAATTACCAAGCAAGGCAGAGCAGCATCTGGGCAACCATGCTGAACTCAGACCAAGAAGGTCCGCCTCAGACTTTGTATTTCCCGTCCAAAGGAAACAGGCCAAAGAGGCAGCTAAGTAATGAGCACTGACTTGAGCTCCTCTCCAGAAACATCTTCTCTAAAACTGAGTCACGAAGCACTTTCTCAATCAGTTCTGAGGGAATGTGTGTATACCAGCCTTTCTCTGGGTGATCTGGCTTTGGAAGGATTCTGACCCTTTTGTGCTGCAACATCTCTGAAAATGGATATGCAGAATCTGAGTACAAGCATTTATAGCTGGGGTTGGTCAAGGATGCCTCCTACTAAGGACCCAGACTGCACCTCTCTGAGGTGCTTTATAAAATCACCTCTGTGCAACCTGGAAGAGGCCGAACTTCCTCAGCTCTACGGAAGTTTATTCTGCCTGAGCAGATGCCCAGGCCAGTCTTGGGGGGATGGGGCATCCACAAACACAGCTGGACTGAAGGCTGCGACCAGTGCCTGGGCACCCACCGATCCTCGCAGAAGTCAGGTTGAGAGATGTTCCTGCACTGGGCCCAAGATTGAGTTTTCAGGCATGGAGTAGGGGGTCTACAACCTCATTTAAATCAGGAAAGTGTTTCTGGCCTTCTGGTTTCCCATTTTAGAAAGGGATTTGAGAAGTGGGAAGGGTATTCCATGGGAAAACTGGGTTGTGATCATGGCAATCTGTTCTTCAGTTTCAGGCTGAGATCTGGGTAAATACATGTCCAGAACACCTTTCAACAGGGCTTAAAGGATTCAAAGAAAGTCAAATCCCTTCGTAGTTTTGGCCAAAATGTGATTATGAACCTTTTCTCAGACTTGACTACTTGGGTCCAAAGCCTGGGGACTGGCCACAGCTGCATGGGGGTGGACATGAGGTACAGAGGGCAGGAAAGGGCCAAGAGCCCAGCACTGATGACTAAGAAGGGCGAGGGCGCTGTAGAGGTGAACATGTGTTGGGGAAGGGTGCTTCTCTGCAGGAGGAAAAGGTGGAATCTTCTTGTTTCAAGAGCCAAAGAAGTGGAAATTCCTAAGAAGCCCGAGTTCTTCTCTCCGGTTTGGAGGTAAGCCCCTTGGGACATACATACCCTTTGACTAAGAGTCAAGCTGAAGGCTTACAATTTACTAAGAGAAGGAGTTTCTAGGGTTGTGCCATTTGGTGAAAGGGGACTAAGGCTTCTAGGATGGGAACCAGCAAAGTCTACAGTGAATCAGTGTCCATGCCCCACAGTGCAGCCAGCCAGGAGATGGAGGAGCTGGAAGGAAGCCTCCCGAGAGAGCAGGGCACTGGGCAGCTGAGGAGGTGCTACCGTCACAGAGAGGTATCTCAGATAGTTCAGTTACGAGTTTCCAAGGAAACTTTACACACCCCTTTCTTGCTAGAAAGAGGGCGGGAACCTGCTTCAGAGACCAGACCCTTACCTATAAAAATAACATACACATTCACTGGGAATATTTTCTACAGCTAAGGAGATTACAAAGGACTGCAAGAGATGTTATTATAAAAGTCTGCTGCGTTTATCCTATCACCACAAGTTAATGGCAGTTCTCAATCTGGTCACGGACGCAGAGTGCAACTCTGCCCCAAGAATTTCCTTTTCTTTTTCTTCATTTATTTTGACACAAAATAAAACAAAACAAAACCCAGAAGAGTTAAAAGCACTGTAGCTGCGGTGAGTCTATTGTTCTCTCAATCCAACTGTCTTCCGCTCCTATGCGAGGATGAACACGGGGCTGCAGCTCACTCTTAGCAAAAATAAGCTTCATCTCTTGCAGCTGTTGGTTTTGATTGTGTTCTCGCCAGCATTCCATGGAGAAAGAGTTCCCAGTTGGTTCTGGTCTCTAGCTCCTTTCAGGAGTGAAAAGGAGCTCGCAGGGAAGGCTCTTCATTCCAGTTCTTAGAGAAAATCAAGCTCCAAAGCCTGGTGGAGGGACACCAGGTCTCCGTGGTTTGTGATCCTCCAGAAGGGCATGTTGTGCTGGAAGGGGGAGGAGGGAGGGGAACTGGTTAACCCAATTTCTTTTGGGAGCTTATATTTACCCACACCCCTTCCTCCACAGACCTCTCCCCAAAGTACTTGGTAACCCTCCTTACTCCTGCCCACCTCATAAGACTGTCATACGGATCAAGTAAGTCATGTGTATAGGGACACATGTATACTACAAGACACTTACAGATGGGAGAGATTTTTATTAGGTTTCAGTGGTAACTGTGCTTTTATGAGACAGACTTGTTCTAGCTACTATGTACGATCCTCAGGATCAAATAAAATGACCCATGTAAGAAATCAGTATTAATATAGTATTACATTTTCTTATGGATAGTCTATTTTCTATAAGGTTCAGAGCTGCAAAGGCCAAATCTTGTCCATGACCAAGATGAAGAACAGAGAGATCTAGAAAATAATAATCCCCCTATATTATGTGATCAGAGTTATGTCCAGAATACTGTGTGCCATTCTGGAAGCCATATTTTAAAGAAGGGCTTTGAAAAACATGAGTGTTGGAAACCATGTTCTATAAAAGCTGACGGAAATTACCTTTACTAATCCTTTTGTTCAGACTTGTTGCAAGTTACCTAGAATACGGAAAGCCCTAGAACACAGTTCTTTTGGCATGTAACTCAGTGCTTTCTCAAGCCTGCTGCTCACACATAATAATTAAAAGGCCTTGAGTATACTGAAGAGGAAGCAGGCTTGTTATGTTGTGCTCAGAAGTGCCAGATTAGGACCAGGATACAAAACAGAAATTTTAGTTCAATGGAAGGAGGAATATCCTAAGATCCTGGATGACCCCACAGTGGAACAGGATACCTGGGAAGCAGTCTCCTCACCCTTAGGTATATTCAAGCAAGGACTAGAAAGTCTTCTGTCACAGAGGGTGCAGAAAAGATCCCTCAGAGGGAGGAGACTGAGATCTAAGGCATTTTCCAATGGGTGTACTCTGTGGCAGATGACTAGAAGCATCCGATTAGAGACACAAAGTCTGATAATGACTTGAGTTGTTCTTCTATCTCCCCCACTCCCTTTTTCAGACCAAGAAGCACTGATGTCTACATCCACTAGTGTCTTCCCCAGAGGGCAACAAGCACTTTAGAATTAAAGCTGGAAAGCCTAGGAAAGTCTGAATGATTGGCCTTTAGTAGTAAAGTCTCACGCTCTTGAGAAAGCATTGACCTCTAAGACGAAGATGGAAGATGGGGCCCCCCACGTCAGGTTTAATGATGGGCGTCCTTGTAGAAGGGCTCAAAGATTTTAAGATTTTAGAGTGGCAGGGAGGAGAGAGAAGGGGAGGATCTAACAACTTACGGGGAAAACTCTGCATGGGGAAAAAAATGACCCTCTTTCTTTTTTTTTTTTAAGAAAAATGGGAGAGGAATAGGGGGAAGGGAAAACACTGTAAATGCACAACAGATTACTACGATTTCTGAGTTTTACCATTTTTCTAATTGCTCAATGTATTCCCATATAGACTATTTACTTTGCCATGGTTACCTGTTTGGCTGCGATTTCTTCATCTCGTCCATCTCCAATCACTACGTATGTGACTTTCTTTCCAAACCTTGACACAATTCTCTCGAAGCAGCTCTCTTTACCTGATGAGAAAAAGAAACTTCCTATTGGGACATTCCTCCCTTTCTTTTTTTCAATACCAAAGAAAAGGGCTGCTGCTAGGTTCACCTGCCTGTGCTTAGACAGAATCAGGGCAGCCCATGTGGTTTGCTTGGTGGGGAGCAGGGGTGGTAGCTAGAGATCCAACAGGCCCTCTGCCCAAAGAATGTGAAATTGTGCCATTCACACAACAGACTTTCTAGGCACTGTGCTCTCTAGGTTCTTATTTTAACTTTCACACTGAGGGTGAAGTGCCTAAGATCTTAGTGTGGGATGTTTCTATAAACACTGTATGAGAGTTGTGCACACCCCCTCCCTCTTCCACAGCTCCTGTACTTTACAGCATACAAAGCAGTTTCAAAGCGTTCATTCACTTAATTCTCAAAATAATCCAGTGAGATGGGTCCCATCCCCTATTCTGATAGATGGAAATTGACCCAAAGGATTAGTGACTTGCCCCAGATCACAAACAAGCTAGTAGCTAGACTCTGAGCCTCTGACTCCAGAGTCTAGGCTCTGGTCATTGTACCATGACGAAAGGACGATTTTTTTTTTTTTTTTTTTTTGCA